GCACACAACATATATATATATATATATATATATATATATATACTGTACATTGTATATTTTATATTGTAATATCAGTACACTTTTTTCTTATTTTCGTGTGTGTGTGTGTACATATTGTTAGTCTCATCGTTCCTCTATTTTCGTGTTTAGCTACAGCTGGCTTCACCAGAGCGACGTGCCCTTCTGCCTGTCGCACGCGAAGGACCCCACATGCAGCTCACTTCCCGCAGCGCCGCGTGTATACATTACGTATATTCATTGCAACAGCCATCATGCGCAGATGCCCCCAGTTAAGCAGGCACGCCCCCACACACGCACATATGCATATGTGTGTGTGTGCCGTACGCACACTAGAAGGGGGGGAGGAAGTTACACAAACGTTCCGCACCAAAAAAAATAAAAATAAAGAGGGAAGCTAAAAAAAAGAAAAAAGAAAAAAAAGAAAGCATGCCCCCCACCGTAGTGGTTTCTCTAGCGCTGCCTTCTGTATCTTTCCTTCTTCCCGTGATGCGTTCCAATGCTAGTAGCGCTTCCATTGATGGATGCAAAAGACATACGCAGTTGCTCCTCAGCAATGCTCTCAACGTCTCTGTTGTCCGCGTTCGAGATGGCGAAGAGACGGTACTCCTCCTCCACGTCCTCCTCCGGGCGCACCGACACCCGCTTCATCGGGAAGAAGCAGTTCTTCAGGACTTTATACAGCTCACACATAGCCATGAAAAATACCAAAAGCACACCAATGACAGCCCAGTGCCACGTTAGCATGTCGTGCACAAAGACGTTGTGCGCCACGACGTCGACGTACAGAATAGGAATGAATAAAGCAGCCGCAACACCCACGGAGCTGTAAATCACGACATTGTCGAACCACTTCATCAAAAATATGGACTGTCGCGTGTGGCGAACGGTGTACGCGTGCAGCAATAAACCAAAGTAAAGTATTCCAAAGGTCGTGGCACGCGCGCGCCAAACATCTTGGCATCCAACCCCGTTGTGCGAGTTGCAGTTGGTGCCGGACGGACCGTCATGCACGCCGTACACAATAAAAACAAACCCGGACAGAGAGCAAAGGCCGAGCCAAAACCCGTACACCACCGTGTCAGAGACCAGTTCAAAGGTGAAAAGACCTGCCGTGTTCGGAGGCACGAGAAGCACGTCGGCGGCTGCGGTGTCTAACGACAGTCCTATTGCGGGAGGGCCGGAAGTAAACATATTTAGCCATAAAATCTCGATGGGCGACAACACAAACAAAGAAACCCCCTCACTGCGGATGGGAAGACCGCAGATGAGTGCAATCACCTCTGCAACGTTACTGGAAAGCAGATGCACCACAAACTTCCTTATGTTCTGTGAGATGCGCCGGCCCTCCGTCACCGCCTTCACAATGGTAGAAAAATTGTCGTCCGTGATAATAATATCCGCAACACCTTTAGTGACGTCCGTGCCAGACCCCATTGCACAGCCAACATCGGCAATCTTAATACTTGGCGAATCGTTGAACCCGTCTCCTGTCATCGCTACCACCCGCTTGCGCTTGTGCAGGCACTCAATCATCTTCACCTTGGACTCCGGCGAGCACCGCCCAACAACGAGTGGAAGATCATCCCATTCAGCAATGGCTTCCATTTCGGTTCTATCAAACTCAGGACCGCTCAGCAACTTCATATTGTTACCAAGGTCTGTTTTGTTGATGATATTCAGCATGACGGCAATGCATCCCGCGGTGGTTATATGGTCGCCAGTCAACATACGCACCACAACCCCGGCGTGCTGGCAGGCAATGACTGAAGGGAGCGATTCCGCGCGTGGAGGGTCGCAAATCCCAACAATTCCAAGAAACGAGAGGTCCTGCTCAATCACCTCGCGGGCGTGGGTGGCCAGGAAGGTTTCCTCAGCGGGGATTGAAAATTGCTCCAAGGTGCATGGTCGCGTGGAGAGACAGATTGTACGGAGCCCCTCCGACGCCAACTTCCTAATGTTTTTGTCTATCGTTTGACGATCCGATTCTGTCAAGGCCACATGCTTCCCCGCCCGCGAAACAATGGTGGAGCAAAGATCAAGAATACGCTCGGGGGCACCTTTTGTGCACATGTACAAGCTATCTGTAATCTTGTTGTGCCACACCGTCGTCATCCGCTTGATTTTGGAGTCAAACGGGTATTCCGCAATACACTCCCATCCCTCACTTTCCAGTTGAGCTCTGTCAAGCTCAGCCTTCCACGACATCACCTGAATCGCCACCTCTGTTGGGTTTCCAGTGCCACAAAGGCGGTCTGCATCCTCTGCATTGACCTTCAGGACAGTCGTACCACAAAGGGCTGCGCAGCGCATAAATTCATATAGCAGTTTATCGGTCGCGTAGACTTCCACCATGTGCACCGGCGTCTCTCCACCGCGCATAAATATTCCATATCTCTCATCTGGGGCTCCCGTAACGAAGAGTTCATCATTTCTTCCGACAATGATATTTTTGACCGCCATTTTGTTCTCTGTCAGCGTCCCAGTCTTGTCGGAGCAGATGTCTGTAACGTTACCGAGCACCTCCAGCACCGCCAACCTGCGCACAATGCACTTCTGCTTCGCCATGCGCTTGACGGAAACCGTCATAGACACAGTGACCACCGCCACCATAGACTCGGGAAGGATGGCAATGGCGACCGCTGTCGCGTACGACAGGGTGCTTTGGTGGTACTTAAACTTATTCGCAGCGAACACAACAACGACGAGCACGATGCAGCAGCCAAAGAGTAAATACATCATATAATCCAGCGTCTTCATAAGTTCCGTCTTCTCCGTGCCTGAGCCTTCCCCAAGGCGCTCCGCGAGTTTCCCGATCTCTGTGTGTGCGCCAGCGGCGACCACAACCGCCTTCCCGTGGCCCTGCGTGACCATCGTGTTGCGGTACACCATATTTTTGCGGTCACCCAACGCACACAGGCCGTCTGGATCGGGGATAGCGGCAATGTGCTTCACCACCGGCACCGCCTCGCCTGTGAGGAGTGCCTCATCCACCTCCAACCCGCTGCTCTCCACGAGGCGGCAATCCGCTGGTACCGAAGCGCCCTGTTCCAAAATGATGACGTCACCCACAACAACTTCGTCGATAAAAATAACCTCCACCGACCCATCGCGGAGGACCTTCGCGCTGCCCACCGTCATTTCCTTCAAACTGTGAAGCGATTTCTCCGCCCTGTACTCATGGTAAAACCCCAATAAGGCGTTAAATATCAGAATGAACAACACCACGCCAAACTCCGCCCAGTCATCGGAAATGGCGCTGATCACAATCACAATAGTCAAAATGATAGTAATGCTGTTCATGAACTGTCTGCAGAAAATCCAAAGGGGACTCGGTGCACCGGCAATGGTAATCTTGTTGTTGCCGAGCTCTGCCGCGCGTCTAAAAACATCGTCTTCAGACACCCCATTGGCCAAGTCGTCCAACTGAACCAACTCAAGCGTGTGTCGTATATCAAAGGTCCACCAGTTGCAGAAAGGGCTGTACACGCCGCCCGAAACTGGCTCGCGCTGCTCAGTAGGGGTGATATTGCCGTTAATCGGCTCCCTGGGGCCAAGCTCGCTCGAGCCAAGCATGTTGCTCCCAATTCCCTGAGTGCGATGCGTGGAATCTTCCCGTTACGGAGCACACACAATACTTACTCCCTCCTCACCCACCTTTTTTTTTTTAATTCCCCTTCTTTTTTCCGCCCTTGAGCACCACGCCTAGATGCGGCCTTATTTCTCTTATTCCTACAAAGAAAAGAAAGAGGACGGCAGTAAAGAAGGTATCCGCTTGGCCGAGCAGGTACACGGCGCCCCCACCTCCTTCGTGAAGGGCAACATCGGCAGTCGTCGTAGTACCAGTAGCAGGAATATTTTACGGAGAGAGAACACAGCCAAGGAACTGCACTCATGCTTCACCTCAATACGGCACTGTTGGAAACAATAGCAAATAAGAGGAAAAAAAGCACACAATACATAAATGAGGCAGGGGAGGGAAATCGAAGCAGACCCCTCACTGATTCATTTGACCTCATCTGGCGGCATATCCCTTGCAAGCGCCTCTATTGCCCCCAAGGAGGCAAGAAAAAGATGAAATGACCACATGTAGCAGATGTGGCTGAGTTCTCCAAATGCAACCCACTCAGCGTGTCAGTGCAGCAACGGCGCCACACACACACACACACACAGGAGGGGAAGAGGAAGCGAGAGTGAAAAAAAGAAGAAGAACGACAAGGAAACAGAACGACAAGAAAAAAACAAATCCAATAAACAAAAAAAAAAATCTACAGAAATCACAACATCAATCAAATGAGTGGAGGGCAGTAGAACTTAGAACGTGGGCTCAAAGCCGTTCCAGTCGATGTCTCCATCGCGCCAGAGTGGAATCTTGCGGACGGCAGCGTAGAGAAAGGAAGGAAGCTGTTCCTTCACTCGCCCTTTGCCAGCTGCAGCATTAAGAGAAACCGTGAGAAACGCCTCGCCTCGCGGAGCTGCGGAAGGCTCGTAGAAAAAAACGTCGGAGGTGGCCATTCCCAGTTTTTTCCGCTGCTCAAACTGCGCACGATCGTCCTTCTTTAAAAAGAGCACCACAAAACGTCCGTTGTGGTGCACCACCCAAACGGGGTGCTGCGGGGTCTTCGCTCCTTCGTCGTCTAACAACGTGTCGTCGGGGCCACTTGAGACGTAGCCGCAGCTCAGCCGTCCCTTGCCCTCATCCAGCATCAGGTTTTCTAGCACGTCATCGGGAGAGACGGCGTCTGCCTCTCCAAGCAGCAGCAGCCTCGTCAGGCTTGTCGAGCAGCGCCCCTCACGGTCAATCAACGCCGCTGTACGCCCCACAGCAGCGGAGACTCGTTTGAGTCCACGCGACAATAGCACAGAGAGAAGAAAGCAGAAGACGCCTGATCCTCCGGGCTGCGTCCAGCTCTCCAAGAGGAAAAGCAGCGAGTCCTCAACCTGCTGTCTGGTCGCAAAATTCCGAAGGACGCGCAAACGCGCCATGTCCGCCTCGGCAGACTTTGTCGTTACGGATCCATCCGCGAGACAAACCCGACGTGGATTAGGTTGTGCAATGAAAAGCAACGTCGCAAGAGCCTTCAGAAGACACTGCTGCTGATGCCGCTTGACATCGATGTATCCGCCTCTAAAAAAGTATGCACAAATAAAGGCCTGGACCACAGCCACGATGCCCTCCGGACCTCTATGCTCCTGGAGAAGGCCATACTCCACCTCCTCCCCAAACACAAAACCAAGCTCAACAAACGATGAGGAAAGGGAATTTCCACCGCATACCAACTCCATGATTGCGTGAGAAACCCCTTTACCCAGAGTGGTCCCCGTTTCCTTATTTATCCATCCACCCTGCCCCACTCGCTCACCCTCTGACTCACTTTCACTACTAATGTCAATGTTGCTCCGCCTGTTATAAATTACCCTCTTATTGCTACGGTAAATGTCGTCTTCACCCCCTCCACTACTGCTAACACGGCTACTACTACTACTCCCGTTGCTACTAAAGCTGCTATCTGCACGCCTCTGCTCCTTACTAGCACCCCCTCGCCGTCGTGTGGACCGCTTCTCATGCAACAGATCATCGTAAGGTGGCTTTCCTGACGTCTTTTTACTCTCTTTGCTGTGCTTCCTCAGCCTCTCAGGCGTCTGTGGCACCTCAAGCAGGGCCCGTCGCTTCAGCTCATCCAGTTCAAGTCGCCGCCGCACGCGCAGAAGGCACAGCATCTCTACGATCGTTTCAACCCCGTCATCCTTCAGCGTCCGCTGCATCTCGGGGCCAAGTGCCATCATATCTGACATGAGCGCCCGTGAGGCAATGGTGTCCGCATCGCGAGGATGCTCCACATCAAACGTCTTTAGCGTCTCGGTAAATTTCCGTTTATGCATATACTCCCGAAGAAGCGCCTCCGACAAGAGTTCCACTTGCCGTTCGTGAGGCAGGTTGTAGACAGCAGACGCGGTGAGACCCTTCTTTGGCGGCATACTGACGGAAATATATATATTTGTATATATATACAAGAGCCCAAGGTTCCCTCACGCCACCCTACCACGCGCAACAGGAGGCAAAAAGGAACAAAAAGAAAGCTGCAAACGCAAATAGAGCGAGCAAGAAAGAGAGAAAAACTGTGTTTGCTTGTTTGTGTGTGTGTGTGTGGAAACCCCAAAAAAAAAAAGGCAGCTTAAAGAGAGAAACGCGCTGCCTATGGAGAACAGCAACTCAAAACACACCGCTCACGCATCGGCAGTGTCCACTCCTTTTCCACAAACTCCTTCTACCCCAACGTCCACGTACGCAAAGAGATCTAGCCCACTCAACTTTCCCAAGGCGTAGTCGTCCAGGGCCGCAAGCATGCAGCGAGTCACATCCTCCCTGTTAGCGCACGTCACACAGCGCGGTGGCTCATCGACGAGCACGGTCTTGCAGGTGTTGCAAAAGAAGGGAGGGGTGGTGGTGGCCACGTTGGGAACGGTGTAGTTGCTCGGGAATACACCTCGACGACCCCGCAGCGTCCCCTCCCACCACCCATCATTCCACCTGCGATGCACCTGAATAACGTCGCCGACCTCAAACCACAACTCGTGCTTCTGCCGCGCCTCAAAGGAATGGGAGGCGCGAACAATGTCGCACGTCACAAAGTTGCTCGGCAACAGGCGCGGTTCCACCGGGATTCTACCCGCGGAGGCAACTTCGCTCCCTGTGCGCTCCGCCTCGCTTTCCTTGACGCCAAACCACCACCCGAGCGACGCGCTGGGGCGAACCAGTCGGAGAAGATCTCCCTCTCGTAATTCCATCTCGGACGCATCCCTCGCCGTGTAGTCGTACAGACAGAGAGCCCTGTCGCAGAAGGTGGGCATCTCCCGCGGACACAGGTTAGACGTGACAAAGCAGTTGGGGAAAAGGCCGCGGGACTCCTTCGCCGTCCCCTGCCCACGGCCCGGCGCAACCACAAACCCCTCCCAAAAGCCAGAGATGCTTCCCTTGGCCGTCACCGCAATGACGTCGCCACGCCGGAAACTAATCTCGTCAGGATCACTTGCCTCGTAATCTACAAGGGCAACACACTGTTCCATCACTACGCTAACGACAGACAGGGAGAGAGACCGATAGAAGGAGACAACACTACGAGAGGGGGCTTGCAACCCAATAACGTGTTTGCCCCCTCCCTCAAGCTGCATCAGGAGAAGGGCAACAGCAGGCACGACATTAAGGAAGAGGGAAAGTGAGTGAGTAGGAATCAGAAAAATCATCAAAAACAAAAAACAAAAAGCACAGACAGAAGGAGTGAAAAATTCGCACCTTCCCCCGGCATCCATATCCCTTCCTCTTACTGAGGAACCTTCCGCAGCTTGGCGTTTCCGTTGATGAGACGTACATCCAGTTCATGAGCCTTGCGCACAATAGCCTTGCGCGACTTGGCACCCACAGTGTGGGAGATGACGCCTGCGTACTTGCGGTTCTGCATGAGCAGCATGTAGAGGTCCTTCACGTTGTTAATGGGGAAGTTCTTGAATCCCGATGGCGTGATGTACTTCGTCTTGCGGTCGCTACCGTAGCCCTTGTTGGGCATGGCCTTCTGTCCCTTGTAGCGGCGGCGCACCGGCGAGTCCTCACCCCGGGGCTTGCGCCAGCTGCTGCTCAGCTGCGGGAAGGCCTCGCACTTGTGGCGCGTGAACTTCTTCGTGCGCTTCTTCACGACGCTCTTCGGGACGACCGGCTTCACCATCCTTTCTGGCTTCTACCCAAACACACGCACAGACGACAGAGACGAAAAGCCAAAAGAATACAAAAAAAAAAAAAAAAGACACACAACTGCCCCCCAATCTCCCCTCTCTTTTTTTCCATCACCCTCCCACCACGTCGGCGAAACAAAAACAAAAAAAATTCACCGCGGCGCCAAAATCTCTCAATCGGGCCACGTCCATTCCAGCTCGTTTTTTTTTATTATTTTTTTTTCTCTAATGCTTTATCTTTCTCCACCTACCCCAGACCCCGCGCTCGCCCCACATGTCAGTCTACTCGCACGGACGTCTGCTGTCGTTCTGCTGCCACTTTGGAAATTTGCCCGTCGGTCGCCGCGGGGGAAACACACGTGTCGAGAGACCACCGATCAACTTGGCGTCCCGTGCGAGGCGGCGTCGCTCCGCGTCGCGGACCGCTCTTCTGAAAAAGTACTTTGCGCGATCATACTTCCCAGCCTTCACCGTCTCTGTTGTGGTTGGCGTTGCGGAGCCCTTTCCCAAGTCCAACGTGTATCCGCGGCGTAGTAGGCAAATCTGACGATATGTTTGCCGGCTGACGCTCTCCACCTTGAAAAGCAACGTAAAACTATGGTTCGCCATGGCACACAGATGAATGGGCACTGTGCAGCTATCACATGCCTCCGTCACCACAGCTTCCACATTGACAATGTCCACATGAGGGCGACTCCACGACAGCAGCCTTGCGTCTCCGCCCGGCGCCAATGAAACCTTGATTGGCTCCGGTGCCTCTATTCGGTTTCCGTACCTGTCTCGGAGCTGCAGCGCAACGCCAAACGGTCGCCCCACAATGACAGTGTTGAACTTCGAGAGCACTTTTGTACGCGGCAGATGCGCCGGGAGCGGCTTTACTCGAATACGCAGAGGGGAGTTAAATATCGGCTGACCACCCATGAAAATTTGTTGGTCAAAATACCCGGATTTAGTGGGTGCCGTGAAGTGCACCCATCCAGTAGCCTCATTGACAGTCACGGCGCGCCATTTCCCGACGAAGGTGAGGCTGGCCTCATTGACGCCGTGATCCAATCGAAGGTTTAAGAGGTTGCGTGTCGTCATCCGCACGGCGTGGCGCCGGCAGCCGGCAGTCAGCAGTCGGGTGCAGACACCGTGTGCCTGCGACCAACACGCGACGGGCTTCGTCATGTTGATGAGCCCCACAACGCTGGAATCCACCACAGCCAGCTGCTGCAACAGCATCGATGCAATTTGCTGAGCGGAAAGCAAATACCACGGTGAGGTTGCATACACGCCTCGCCCCAGACAGTACAGAGGACAGTTGTAGACAAAGCTACCGTTGTCGTACAGTACGCATGAGCCTCTTCCGTACAACTCCACCACCAGGACGAGTTGGCGCACGTGGCGACGCACCACAGCCCCCAAGCCGGTGCCGCAGCCAATGGAAACACCATCGAGGAGAGGCTGCAAGACAAGAGCGCCACAGTTATGGCACAAAAGACTCAGCGCAGACACAACGTACTCGTCATCCTGCTTCTCAAGCAACGAGGCAGAGTCCAGCACAAATGTTGCCGCCGGAAGATATATCTGGAGACGTTCTCTCACCGCGGCGACGACGCGGGGCAACTCCCCACGCAGGCGCTCAATCTCGTCATCCAGAGCCCCACGGCGGAGTCCCTCGTAGATCTCACAACGTGTAGGTGCAAGCTGGCGACTGAGGCACAGCAACAAAGTCCCCTCCAAAAAGTTGGCTGCGGGGCGCCGCCTCGGCGCAAAGAGGACAACCACAGAGCGTAGGTTCCGTGTCAAAATGTCGCTCACAATTCGTGAGGAGCAGAACGCCTGCATGTTTGTCGACGGATCCATCACCAACGACACAAGAGCCTCAGCTGCGTCGGTCATCGCAGCCTCCAGCAGATGCAGCGGGAGTTCGTCCAGAGTGACGCCACCCTCAACCTCCAACCTCCAGTTCGTCGTCTCATCTGTGGCCATTAACGCCGCAACACGGCGTCGGACATCCACCAGAAACGCGTCCCGGATGAAACTCACACCCACGAGGTTCACGTCCGCCAGAACTTGCTTGTACAGCACGGCCTGCAGCATGTGATCCACGTCCTGCAGCGTGTCATCGTTGAACAGAAGGACAATCCTGCCCACCGAAGAAGTGCCCTGGCGCCTTGACACGGGCTCGCAGGTGTAACAAAAACGTATGTCCAGTCCACGCATAGCGTCGCCTGTCGCCGCAGTCACCGCAAGGATGTCCGCCATGGCGACGCCAGCGAGGATGTCCTTCAGTTTCCCGTCGAGAAACAACTCAAGCTTCGCCAGACCGTCATCAATGAGACGCGTGATAGCCTCCACGCTCATCCCGCCCTTGCCATCACCCCACTCCACCGCGACACGTCCCATTGACGCGGCAGGATACGGAAGCTGCTGCAGTTTATGTGTTAGCGCGCGGCATCGCTCTTCAGCCACGCCCTGCAGCCGCGCCGCCTCCCGCCTAGCCGTAAACTGAAACTTCGCCTGCAGGGGTGGGGTCAGAAGTCGACAGGAATCCACGTACACAGAATGCCGCAGGCACCTGTTCGATAGAGCAACAAACTCCTCCGCGCGATGCAGCACAAGCTCCAGCTCCACCGCGTCAAAAGTGTCGTCTTCGTCCCAGACCTCGTAGTTTGAAAGAACAAGTGAGGATGCCAGCCACTGCAGAAACTGCACCTGCTGATCCGCACTCCGCGACTCCAGCGAGCGCGGATTATACCGTATCCGGAAGGGGAGTCCCCGCAGCAAAGAGGACACAACAGATATCTCGTGCTCCAGCGTGAACGCTGCAGCCATAGCAGCAGCACAAAAGGCAGACTCCCTCAAAGTGTTTGCACCAATCAGTCGCACGTCGGCAAAGGCCAATCGTCCCACATGCCTCCCACCCTGTTCAAACCCGACGCACATGGCTACCTCTGCAACGCCAAACACGTCGTATAGAAGCACTCGCACGGCAGGCGACAGGCCAGGAAGCTGCATAAGAAACGAGTTTGAAATACTCAGGGCGTTCGTTCGGGTTGATGCCAACGCAAGTTGCTGAAGCACTTGGGCCACGCGAAGCACCCCAGCGGGGTTCCCCATCGCCACAGCAGCTTCAAATGCCGTCATCCCGGCTGGATCAGGGGTGTCCAGGGCATCGAGGAGTTGAGACGCGACCACACGCCAGTCCGAGTTGCTTTCCCGCCGAAACGCCTCCACCAATGCAACCAGGGTCTCTGCAGACCCAGTCGAGGCAATGCGGTGAAGGACACTTTCCACCCCACCCACAGCCGGGGTCCTTCTTTGTAGCAAGTCAAGTCTTGTGCGTGCAAGGAGCAGCGAAGCGCAGGCCACACGCTGATGCACCGCGGCCACTTCGAACGGTAACTGGCCTGCGCAATTAAGACTGTTGGGGTCGCTCATTTCCAGCTTCAACAGGAGCTCCACCACGTCCAAGTGCCCCCGCTCGGCAGCCTTGTGAAGAGCCCCACAGTCATCTGCAACGTTCATGTCCCCCAAGACCCGGATGCCCACGACATTGCTATTGCGCACACACCAGAGAAGCAACGATGTGCAAGCCCACCTAAAACTCGTCGCGGTACCATACGTCATCTCACCAGGTCGCATGGCGAATCGACAAAAGGAGCGTTGCCGGGTTTCCTCAAGCAGAGCCTCGCCCACCTGCAGCACCCCTCTAAGCCAGCCGTAGCGCGGCAGCGCAGAATCGCAGGCAAATATCTGACGCTCCAAATGCAACGACGAGGAAGGTTCCACACCTTTGCTCGAGGCGGCACTCAACAGCACCCGAAGCACCCGGGCGTTGCCAAAGGCATAGGCCAAGTAAACAGCCGTGTCACCATTACCGTCTTCAGCCAGGGGATCGATCTTCTCAACCATGCCTACCAACGCTGACGCCACGCGGTGGCAACCACCCACAGCGGCGCAGTGCAACAACGTCGTCTGCGGGGAGAAAAAGTCCTCTAGTCTGGAGAAATTTTCCGCCAAAGGAACCGCGATGTGGTCATGACCAGCAAAGGCTGCCACCATGACAGCTGTCATCCCTCTACGATTCCTCACAGATGCATCCGCCCCATTCGCAAGGAGGTGTTCCACAATCTCCATCTGGCCTGCAGCGGCGGCCAACAACAGCGGCGTGTTACCTTCACGGTCCGTGCTGTTTATTTCCAGCTTCTTTAGAAGCGCCACAACAGGCGACAACGGGCCGCGCTGACACGCAACCATCAGAGGTGTGCGCCCCAGTGTCTTGCAGCACAGTCGATTCGTAGGAATCCGCAAACCCATCAAGACACCAAGCGCCAATCGACGGGGGTGGTGCATGGCGTGAAACAGAGCTGTCCTTCCTCTGGCGTCACATGAGCCTTCAATCTCAGCACGCGGAGAATGATTCGCGACAAGCATGATAATTTCCCTCGGAGCACAACGGGCTGCTACATGCATGACGTGACGTGCGGTTCCTACCGCATGCTTAATGATGGGCGGCACCTCCACCTCCTCAACGCTGGTGAAGAAGCGCCCTTCCGTGGGATCGCTCGTCATCATCCTCGCCGCCGCCGCTACAAGCGCCTCCAGCAGGTCCCAGAGCATCAGCTTCGCCAGAGCAATGGCGAGTAGGTTGACCTCCGCCCGCCCAAGACACTGCTCGGAGCCAAGCAGAAACCGCATAACCTGCGACTGCCGCAACAGCCCCTCAGCATCACCGGAGACGGCAGTCTCCACAATAACTGCCATGCAAAGCAGAATTGGGCTCACCTGGTAGCGTACCTCTGTGAAGGTCACGGGATATGTGTCCTCCTTACGACAGGTGTGCCTCCTCACCACAGCCCGTACCGTTACCTTTCTGCGCGGTGGTGGCATAGAACGCGGAGGCCGCGGTGAGGCATGCCTGCGCGATATCCCGGCAACGGTGGAGTGGCAGTTTGTGGTTGACACACCACTGTAGACCAGCAATCGTACCCATGGGAGACTTCCTGCCGCCACAGCCCAACCCATCGGCGTCAGTGCCGCAAGTGCAAAGGATCGGTTATCAAAGTAGAAGGAATGCCTGTGCTGCATCACAAGCTGCCGCACAAAGTTCGCGGGTAAACCGCCATGTTGCAAGTCCAACGCCTGCTCAAGGCCGCCGCCTGAGGCGGAGAGCCGCACAATGTCCCGGAAAGCCTCCTCAGAGAAAGATGGGGCAAAAACAAGGTAAGGCAAATCGCATGGAAAAATTCTCGTGTGTGTTGGCACCGCCAACGATAACAAACGGCGTTGGTGGTCCTCATCAAAGTAGAAATTCATAAGCGAGACAACAGAGGGTGTTGTAACAATGTGGTTTACCTCAATAGATGGTTTTTCAACGTACTGAAGAATGACACGCTCACTCAGAAGCGTGCGGGTAAGTTCATACTCCTGCAGCTCCACTGCCGCATGCAGAACCGTGTAGCCCTCCTTCCCTTGCGCCGCACGCCTTGCGGCAGAGAAACGTATGAGGCGGGAAATTTTGGGATTACTTCCCTCGTCCTTCTCGCCGCTCCCGCATAGCCCCAGGCTGAGGAGGAGCATTGCCCCCGCCGCACAGCCCGCTCTAAGCGCATAGCCCACTGGATTCACTGTAAAGTTAGTCGCCCGTATCGTCCGCAGGAGTTGCCGGCTGGCCTCCGCCGTAACGGAGTCAACGTCAGCCACAAGCAGCAGCGTGGAGCGCAGCACCTCACACAGCGCCAGCCTAGAAACGAAGTAGTGCAGCGAGCAGACCCCATTGGAAGCGATATCCTCCGTCAGCGGACGTAGGCCGTAGCACTCTATCAGACGCTCCACAGTCTGCAGCAGCCCCTTTCTCGCAGCCACTCGCATGATGCTCGGCGACGTGCACTCGTGCCCGGCCCGAGCCAGCACCGCTACACCTTTGGCAATCAACGCGTCCTGAGACGCTGAGGGTCTGCACGGGGCTCCATCGACAAGCGCCTTGAGCGCATCCCGGCAGAACTCTGCCGAGTCTGTGCACCACCCTGGCAACAAGTTTCCAGCCGAAAGCAAAAGTTCCATAATCGCAACGTCAGTGAAGTGCGCCGCCAACCACAAGGGAGATACCTCGCGCCTCTCCAACCTCAGCACACGCCGGTCGCAGCCGCCCACTGCAGGAATGACACCCACCAAGTCGACAGGTGCTCCGTGAAGAATGAGGTACGCGACCAAGTCTGCCTCACGACACGCCACAGCCCACAGCAACGGCTGTACCGAGCGACCCAGCCGTTGCTTCAGCGGTACCTGGAACTCGTTTTTCAACACTTCCAGTATATCCAGGCTACGCGTGCAAACACAGCGGAGGATTAGTTCATCCAACCAGGCCCCCGCACCGCTCAGGTCCGGCACATCGTGAAATCTACATGTATCTATTAAAATCTGTCGCACCAACGTCTTCTCCCGCGCGGCCGCCAAATTGCAAAGAACTGACGACAACACGCCCGCCTCACCCACCCTCCCATCCACAGTCGCTATGGAGCGGCAGAGAGCCCCCAGTGTTGCACCGCAGCACACAGCGTGGCGACGCAACGGAGCCACACCGACAACAAGTAGCATGCGAAGGGCGTCCCTTAGCTGCTTTTCAGCCGCATAATCTGCAGCATTCCAGCCACGGTAATCCGGACCCTCCCATGGCTTCAGCCCCACATCAAATAGAAGACTTTCAAGCAGTTCGCCTTCATTGGCCTCAGCACAGTAGCTCAGCACATCACGAAGACGCAGACGGTGAAACAACACCCCAGTACCCCGGCGTCGAACGACCAGACGCTTAAAAGGCTTTGGTGGGGTGTACAGAGCCCGTCGGCCGTTCGCTGACAGAGGACGGAGAGCCTTCGCCTGCACCGGGGCCATCGTCGGTTCGATGAGCACAAACGGCCGCGTGGGCGGTGGCGGGGAGGCATTCACAATCTCCCGGAGCGTCGCTGCTGGCAAAGCGCACAGGCTGCCCACCAGCGCCCGGACAACGGTAAAAAGGGAACGGCTTGCTGCGAGATGCAGAAGCTCCGTAGGGTGCGTGATGTCACGTGAGGAAAGATCGAGACCCCCTGCGAGAGCCACACATGCCCGTTCGCAAGTCATACTCCGTCGCCCACGCACACCCTCCATTGTGTGAACCAAGGCCTGGGACACCTCCAAGGGGGAAATTACATGGAGTCCCAGCAGGGCACGAACAACGGACTCGGCGCCTTTTTCAGCGGCGGCACGTAGCGCAGTCCAGGAACCATCCACAGCCGAAAGCCTCGCGCCAGCTCTCACCAGACGCTCCAAGACGGCGTGGTGTCCACCGTGTATAGCCACTAACAGCGGCGACGTTCCAGCTGGGGCAACGTTTGGATCGGCCCCAGACGAGAGCAAGAAGCCCACCGCCCCGGCATCGCCCAACGCAGAGCTCAGTAGCAACGGGCAACCGCCATCAAGAGAGTTTAGACCACAGCAGCCCCGTTCAACACACCACCGAATACCAACGCTGTGCTTGACCGCACAAAAACGGCAGAGAAGCTCGTTCGAAGCTACCACGTTCCGCATCAAAGCCGCAACCGCACGGTCCGCCAACTTGTAGTGCCCCTTTGTGACGAGGTAAAACAGCAGCTCAACCACCTCATCCGCTCGCGTCCCGGCCCCGTGCGACAGCAGCATCTCCACTGTACTCACGTGGACGCGCCTCCCGCGAAGGGTGCAGAGAAGCGGCGTTAGCCCTTGTTGCTCCTTTATTACCTGTCTTTTTGACGCCTTCGCAAGGTGCCTTGATAGTCGTGGCGACCCACGTGTTGTTACTAGATATCTCAAAGACGTATTGCTGCATGTGTGCGACAACGTAACGTCGGCGCCGTGATCGACGATGAGGGCATTGGCGGCACGCGTCACCCCCAACTCGCACAGCAGATGTAGTGCGCCCATCCCACTATTGTCACATGCGTTTGTCGCGGCAGAGCCGGATGGCAAAGCCGAAATGAGATACTCCACCACGGTGGTTGAGTGTTTCCGCCTGTTACGCCTCAAGGCTGCCACAAGCGGGGTAGCGCCGGTGACGTCCTGTAGAGAAATCCACCATGGGAACCGCTCATGAAGGAAGCTGACCACCGACAGGTGACCTCCCTCAGCCGCCAGATGCAAGGGGGTTTGCAACCGGGCGTTGAGCATGCGATTCTGCGCCAAACTTCCCAGCTTCAGTTCATCTAAAAGGAACTCAAGGACGCTTCTATGCCCATGGGCAGCGGCCACGTGAAGTACTGACTGACAAAGAAGGTTGTCACACTCCTCTATGGAATCACGTGAAAATAAGTAATGGTTGTAGAGGGATTTGATGGCAACCACGTCACCCTCTTCGCAAAGCTGAAAAAAGGTTGGGAAGTACAACGAAAATAGATCCCCAGGTGACATGTCTACACTGTTTTTGAGGCAACACAGCCACTTTGCCTCGACCCCTTTCGCGCGCAGTCGCTTGCACAGCAACTCGACGATACGGTCATTGCGGAGACGCAACGCCGCATGAAGTGCGGTGTCGCCACTGTTATCAGTGAGCAGCACGTCAGCCCCAGCCTCCAGCAGCCGTGCCACGATAAACTCATTGCCACCTCTAACCGCAAGATGCAACGGTGTTTTACCCTGTGTATCTTGCTCATTAACGCGAATAAAGGAAAGAGAAAGCAAAAAGGCCACAGCCTCCGTGTGGCCCTGGTAAACGCACTCGTGCAGCACCGTGCGCCCAAAGCAATCCTTCACGTTGCCGTTCCACTGATTTAACAGCGCAGAAAGTTCCTGCAATTGGTACGGGCGCCCATAGGCGCCTTGCTGGAACCTGTGGCGTTCGATCATCACTTCCTCCGTCGTGAGACTCCCCGGCTCTCCCTGCGCGATAAACACAACGGCGAGTGCGTCGCGCGACGGTGGGTGCTCCCCTGGGCACGCCAAAACCTTCACCATTGGCGGTGTCGGTTCCATCGCCCACCCTGCCACGGTAGACACGCCCCACACACGCGGCAGTTTTGGAAAGACGTCCACCAGCAGCAGCTTTTCCTCGTCCCGCCGCTGGATGGGCACAGATCCGCCACCCCTAACAAATGAAAACGCCAAACTGAGGTCGAATGGGTGCAGGGGGTACACCATGGTTTTCTTCCATTCCTCCTGTGTCACGTTGACCGGAGCCCCATGTACCTCCAGCTCGCTCGGGACAGTTGCATCCCCACGCGCCTTGCTTGTGAGACTTCTCAGCAGCAGCCGTACATCCCCCAAGGAAGAGTTGAGGCGGATGTGAATGGTGCCAACCAATCGGCTACCAGTTGCTCCCCCAGTACGGATCTGGCATAATATGGGTGCAGTCAGGGGCGTTCGCTCCGCCTCCAACGAGCGCATTGCTCTGTTGTTCCCTTGTACTGTGCGCATGTAAAGAGAGAGAGAGAGAGAGAGAGAGAGTTGCAAGTGTGGTTAAGGTCGGGGGATCTCTCTCGCAGCTGCACAATGTGAACGGGGGCGCAGAGACAGAGGCAGCCTGAACAATTCAAAAAGAATAATAATAGCAAATGAAGAACACGCTTGGCGACGCCTGTCAAGTGGCGGCCCTGCAGGAGACACTCTAATTGGAGGCCCGACACACTGCAAAACGCGAGACGACGAGGACCACACTCATCGCTGCAACCAAAAAAAAAAAAAAAACTTCAAAGCTGCTATGACGATATATACGTCCAACACTCTGCGGCTCTACTTGTATTTCCCCTTTTTTCTCCCTCCCCCTACGCCCTTTGCCGGTTTCGCTTTGCTCACTACAAGCTGCGCCTCACACTCGCACCAGCAAGAGGCGTGAGGGGGGCAAACACAGAGGCCCATTATGCCTTTTTTCTCTCTCTCTCTCTTTCTTTCTCTTTCTCTATCTCTGTATGCTACGGTATGTGAATTCTAGTTTTATGCCTACGCTGCGACTACTGAACCTGCCGCAGACGCTCCAAGAGGCCGCTGCACTTCACGCACTCCCCCTCCTCTGTCAACTCACAGCTCAAGACGACATCAAACACCGCCCCATTCACCCGTGCGTTGCTCCAGCACGGGCGCAGCCGCCTCACCACGCCATGGAGCGTCGATAGGAGTAGCCTCTCATTGATGATGCCGTCAGAGACCGTGTTCAGACGGTCAAGCAAGTTAGTCACGGCGGAAAGGCCCTCACGGCCCAAGTCAAGCATCATCATCTTCACAGCGATGTCCATCCGGCAGTCCTCGCCGGGTAACTCGTCCGACGGCGGCCAACTCTCCTGCGCAATTGTCTGCCGCACCTTCTCCAGCGGCATCTTCTGCACAAGGATCATTGACTCCAGACATGTTGCCACAGCAGAGGCCACTGGTTCCTGATCCAGAAATTCATCCGAATTGAGTAGGCTGGCTCGTACGCGCTCCCAGAGCTGCTTACGAGTCATGGTGTAGAAGTCTTCCACGGGTGTGCGGAGCATAAGGAAGCGTATGCGGCACCGTTCCTGGGGGCTCAGCCGCCGCCAAAGCTTTCCCGTGTACCCGCAAGGCAGCACGCAGAAGCGGATTGTGAGTCGGCGCACCAGTTGCCGAAGCGAAAACGTCCCGTTGCTCGTCACCGCCGCGGCCGCGGTGCAATACCGGACGATGGACCACAACGCCGACCCCTTCATTGCCGGGAAAGTGTCCCGCAGCCGCTGTGGCAACTCGTCCAGCTGCTGTACAGTGTACGCGTCCAGATCGGGGGACCACAAAATCAGCGCAAGCTGACGCCCGACGTTGTACGAAAGACCCGCCAGGTGACACATCGAGGACTCCAGGCGGCAGGCATGCGAGGGCACGTTCAAGAGCATGCGACGAGGGTCGTCCAGAATGAGATCCAAAAAACGTCTACAGTCGATACCACCCATGGTGCCTGGGTGCGGAGACAAGAGAAGCGCCCTGCAGCACAAGTGCGACGCCAGCTCCTCCGGGGTGTTGCATAGCAACTGCTGCAGACCTATCAAGCCATCGTTAAAGGATGCACAGAACTGTGCAGCTGTCAATATTGCCTCGTTGCATAAAAGCGAGTCAGCAACACGCAAGACTAGAAACACCCCATGGGGAGAGAAAGGGCGGCAAAGAGGAGTGAAGACGCCACTCCCACGACAAGAGGCAGCCGCCTGTAACCGGTCTCGCTCCATTTGAGTTTTTAAGCAAAGCGTGATAAGCTGCCTGGGGACCACGCCGCCGTCTTCCTGCAGCGCACGAATAAAGTCTGACGCTGTGATCCTTCTGTCGGCATCACGGTCAACGCGCGCCATAACCACGCCCGTCAACCAAATAGTGGAGTGGTTGGCCTCGCACATGCCCAGACTCTCGGTGAGCGCGCCACACAGTTCCTCCTCGTCAATAACGCCATCACCGTTTGTGTCCATGTTGTCAAAGGCCGCCTCCAGAAGGCACATCTCGTCGTCCAGGAGGTCCACAGAGACGTTGACCGCGAGCTGCCTCACCATGTTTATGTGCGGGGCAAAGAGCTCCAGATACGCGGAAAAATCAAGTGCCTCGCTGCCTGGCGATTCCATCGCCAACATGCCATCCCTGAAGGCATCCCTCAGCTCCTGCAGCCGCACGACGCCATCGCCGTCCGTGTCCAGGTAAATGAAACTGTCCCGTACGAGGCGCAGTTCCTCTGCGCTCAGGTAACCGCACTCCGACGCTCCCAACCCCAACGTATAGCGCATTCCGGTGCCCGCCTCTCCCCCTTTTCCCTTTTTCTTCTTCTCGTCCCTGCCTCTGTTTCTTTTCGCTGCGTGGCGCACCCACAGACACGCGCACTCGCCAAAGACCAGAGACTAGAAAGCCACAAGATACAAAACAAAATAAAAAAGGGACAACGAAAGGACGCCGAAGCCTTTGATTGGCAACACCCACCGGGGAAGAGAAGGATAAAAAGAAGAAGGGAGGCCGTGACGGCTCCCCTACCATCGGGCTCCTCTCCGCGTCCGCATGAATAACTTCACGCAAGAAAGAAAAAGAAAAAGAGACGGTGATAAAGAGGGGGAGCAACAAAAGAAAACAAAGACACCTCCCCCATGACTACATGCAGTAAATAACACGATAACTGCAAAGGCCCACTACTTTTACACTCTCAACCAATACTCGGAGTCGTGCACCACCCCACCCCACGCAACTACCAATTATTTGTTTCCCGCACCCAGTCATAACCCCCAATTCCCCCGCTGCTTGCCCCCAACCACCAACACTGCTACTACTACGATGCAGATATACGCACTAAGGAGGAGGAAGTGCTGTGCTACATACGCGTCGCGAGGTCCAGGTATGGTGCATCCTTCGACCACATTGTGGACGTAATAAAGTACTTCTCCTCTATTCTTTAAAGATCCTCGTGGGGAATGCCAAAATCCTCCCAGTCCAACATGTCTGGATCATGCTCCGGAGTGGCACAGTTGTCAGGAAACTGGCGATTAAGCCAGCCTTTATTCTACGCTGGTGCCCGTGTGCCCAAGGCAAAGCCCTGATGCATCGGAAGCCGCTCGTTTTACGCGTGCCCAATGCGCCACATCCAGGTCGGCATGTGCCACGTAAGGTGCAGCTGACCATTGCACTCCGAACACCAGCGCAGCAAGTCGTTCGTTGTGAATCGTATCGGTCCCCCCAACTCTGCGATGCGCCCCTCCGTATGATCGAGGAGGATGGAGCGGCACGCAGCCTCTGCTAGGTCACCGGCAAAAACGGGCTAGTGGATGCGTTGTCCACGGTTTGGGACCGGAACGATCTTCAGGAAGCGCTGGGCCTTGAGGTACTTGGAGTAGCTGAAGTCGTTCTCAGCGAAGAGGTCTGTGCCGTGGATAATGGTAGCCGTGGGAAATTCCTCGAACACCGCCAGCTCCGCCTCACGCTTCTGACGGAGCAGCTCCGAGGAACTGTTTAGGTCCGCGCTGACCATCGACATATGGGTGAGGAGGAGGATGCTTATCTCCCGGCACCAGCGCGCCAGCATCCGCGGCCACTCCACGTTGATCGCCCCCATCGAGAACCATAACTGGCTGTTCTCGTACACAGCCGGCCCTCCTGCAAGGCGCCAACGACGTTGATGACGTTGTCCACCTTCTCTAATATAGACTTTACGACAAACTCCTTGTCGATCTCGTAGTCTGTGTCAAAGTTCTACCCAACGGTGCTGTCACCAGCCATGCGCAGCGTTCGCACACCGCTTGCAAGACCGGCACGAAAGCGAAACGGCAGTATGCTGGTGAAGCCGTGGTAGCAGCAAAGATGGTAAACGTGCATGCCTAAAATCCCCGTGGCACCAAACATGACAACGTTGACGCCCATTGTGTTAGCCTCTGAGCCGCCACCGCGCCACGCGGCCGAGATTTCACCACTCATGTTCCGCGCAAACACCCGGCATGACATCCGCGTTCTCTTCTACCTTCACACTCCAAAACGAGGCTGCAACAACACAACCAACGAAGTAACAAACAAAAACAAAAAGCGCTTGAACGCAGGGCAAAGAGATATGTCACCAGGGCCCAAATACATGCAGAGACTCATATCCCCGCGCAGGCAGAGATAAAAGACAGCACGGCGGGAGAGAAAGTCCCCACGCCTCGCTCGGGGCAGCCGCACAACGACGGTTTTTTTTTTTATGAAATGTCAGTAACGATCGTTTTTTTTGCAAAAAAACACAAAGACAAATCGCTGGACATGAAACAAAAAAATTTTTTTTTTAGAAAAAAAACTAAAACAAAAAAGCGTCCTCCAGTTGCCTACTTCTTGGCCTTGAATGCGACCACGTCTTGCTTCTGCTCCGCGACCTTGTGTGCATGGCGGCGGGCCGCGTTGCGCTGGCGAGCCGCACGACGGCGGGTGCCCACCAGGTGCAGGTACTCACGGCGCTCCTCAGCGGACTTGCGAACCTTCTCGATGGCCACCTTCGCCTTCTTGGCGCGGCGTGCCTTCACGGCTGTCGTGATGAGGCGCTGAATCTTGGGTGCCTTGAAGCGGTCCTTTTTGCCCTCCTTCGTGACCTTGCGGCGGATGACGTACTTGCGCACGTCGTCGCCGCGGGAGAGGTTGAACAGCTTGCGGATCTTGTTCGCACGCTTGGGGCCGAGGCGGCGAGGCACCGACACGTCGGTGACGCCCTCAATCGGTTGCTCACCGGTCCGCACAATGACGACGTTCAGCACCGCAATGTCGCTTGCGAGGATACATCCACGGAGCGACTTGCGGCGGCGTTCGCCCTTGTACCCACGAAAGGTGTTGAAACCGACAGCGCCCCGCTTCACAAGAAGCGACACGCGGCTTGGGGCCATAACGCCCTGCACCATCGGAAAGCCGTCCTTGTCGGATCCGCCCTGCAGCTTGAAGGTGTAGCCACTGAACACCTCGCCGAAAATGGCCCCGTCCACCTCGTTGCCGAGGCGGTAGTCCGTGAGTGACACGCGGCGAAGCACCTCGTCGGTGACCTCGAACTGCTTGACGGTCCCGTTGCGGGGGTAGGCGATGTTAAGCTTCATGCTGTTGGCTTAAGGAGTCGCTGCAGCACAGAAAAAAAGAAGAGGAAGCAAAAAGAAGAAGATAACAAAGTAACAGCAACAGCAAAACTTCACCCAACGGGTCGTGAGACATCATAACAATAATAATAATAAAACAGGGGTGGAACCAAACATACAGAAAAGGGGGAGGGGTGTCGCATCGTGCCTTCGCCCCCGTCTCAACCGCCGCAAAAGAAAACCACGTCGGAGCGCACGCGATAGACGACGCTTCCGCACACACACACACAAACAGGCACCCCCTAATACCAAACCACCCTCGCGGAGGCCTTCCACAGCCACACGCCAAAGCTGCTGTCAATGACCAGGGGACCGCCGGCAGCAACGGTCGAACGGGCGTGCAGGAAGCCTAGAGTTGTTTCGGCGGCGGCGTCGCCTACCCTGTACTGCACCACCGCCGCGTCGCACAGCACAGGACTGGAGTCAGATGACGCTGCACCAGGATCGTACTGTGTCCGAAGAGAAACGTCCTCGCCAAACACCTCTCGTCGGCGGTGATACAACGCACGAATCATCGGCAAAACGTCGGGTTGCTGCTGCGCCACACGAACGGCCTGGTAGAGTGAACCGAGAAGGGAAAGCGCATAAAAATGCAGGTCGACAAAGTCCGCAGGGACCAAGCAGCCGCCAAGGTCAGCACCAGAACACACAAAGCCGTTGCAGAGAAGCATGGAAAGACACCGGCTAAGGAGGGCGTGTGGCAGCTCACAGCAAAGTAGTTCGTACTTATGCGAGCGAACAGCGGCATCACGGTGCAGCCGCTTCCTCCACTCTGGCTCCGCCCTTCGCTGAGGAAGCTTGCCACGGCGGCTTGAACAAAGTGTCAATAACCCCGTGAGTACCTTGACGCAACCCCGCAGTGTGGCCTCTACGCAGTCATCATGAGTGCCGCTGCCGCTGCCGCTGTCGGCGCGGCGAGCGAAGTCACAAGCCAACTCTGTCGCCTCAGCCACCGCCCCCACAAAAGTGGCCAGTAAACGAGCACGTTGCTCGTCCAGTGACGCCGTCATGAGCGAAGCAAGTGGGCTGTCGTGGGGGACCAGCGAGGCCGCGAGCGCGTAGGAGTTCGACACCTGGCAGAGACCCTGGATGTCGTGGAGCACCCGTGTGTAGTTCGCCACCGAGGGCTCATCACGGGCCTGCAGCACAAGACAACGCAGTGCTTTTGCAAAAAGGATACTGCTTCGAGTAACACTAGGCAGCATGCGGCCGCGTTCAAAGGGCGAAAGCGTGTGAAAAAGGGCCGATGCAGCCTCGCCCTTCACGCGGCTCACCTCTAGAAGGGCTGCAAGTATTTGGCTGCGCATCATAGGACTTAAGGGTTCCATAAGAAAAAGCTCTGCGAGGGTCGCATCTGACATGCGACGCATCATCAGTAAAGTTTCGGTGCTCTTCTGAAGCACCGCCTCAATCTCCTCACGCCGGCCGGCTCGGAAAAGACAAGAAAGATGCAGTTCTTGGCAGCGAACCCACGCGGGGTTCAATGCATTGCCCGGTCTGGCCTGCATCCCCGACCACAGCCGCAGCCACGCTGCATCGCTCCTCACCGTCTCCACTTTACTCAAAGAACAGCATGTCGCAAATGCAGTAGCAACATCTGCAGCGGTAAGGGCAGCAGTGGCCGCGCTAGTCGTTATACTTGTTGGCAACTTCCCCAGAGACGCAGACAACAGTCCGGCAAGACGTTCCCCAAGTTGCAGGGATGGAGCTAAACATGTTGCGCACAGAGGTGCAAGTGCCGAGGTGGTACGGCCATGGCCCTGCGCGGCGTGAATGCATCGGACGAGAGCGAAAGCAAATGCCCGCCACGAGGTCGCAGTCAACTCCGTGTCTCGCCCCTCGCGAGGCAGCTTCAGCCGCTCCGCTACGAAGGGCGGCCACAGGCCTGACGGCGTCACCATGCCGACACACGCGCAGAGCAGCGCGTCCCTCGAGACGTCGCAGCGAAGAACTCGCTGCAGGGCACCGCACTTCTCACGTTGCGCGGACTGAAGAAACGCCGCGACAATCGCATGGGGTTCACCGTACGTTAAAGAGGCCTCCAAGTGAAGCGATGACGAGGAACACGAGAGACCACAGCGGCGCGGCGCGGGTGTGCATCGGAACGGGCGCCGCCTCTTCACTCCCCCGATTGGGCTGCGTAGCGACAGTACGACGTCGCGCGCCAGCATCCAGCGACCACTGTGAGAGGGCTTCGCTCCACCAGTGTCAAATGAAAAAAATGCCAAAAAGGAAACAAGCAGAAAGAGAGTGTAAGAGAGAGTCTGTCACACGTGAGCGGCCACGCCTTTCGACCCTCGCCACAGCTGCAAGTGGGTGGTGGTTGAATCACCGCAAGGGAGAGAAGAAGAAGAGGGGGGGGGGGTGCCGTTATAGAGCCCGCAGCCGCCTCCATTTTACACGGGTGTTACTTTTTATATATATGCATATATTTGTTTTTCTTTTTTTTCTTTTTTTGACCTCTGAAAGTTAATAGGCGTTGAGGAGCGACAAAAGCCGCTGTGGCGCCAACGACAGTCGCCGCGCCCGCGCCGCTGCCTCCTTCGCGCGCCGCAAATCCTTCGCCACGTCGCGCTCAAAAACCACGAGTCTGGCCCAATCGACGGCATTCATCTCCGCCGGTGCAAGTCTGCAGCTCGTCCCTTCCCGCCGCGGTAACTGCTGCACGAGCGGTGGAAAACTGCTCGGGTGCTTCGACAGCGCGTACATTCCTAAAAGACGCTCGTGGGCACCTCGCGCCTCCTGCACGGCATTGCTGTCTTTTCCGCCTCTCTCCAGCGCCACAGCCTCGAGAAACGGGATGGCGATCTCAACGTGCGCCCGACGTGGAATCGGTTCGCACAGGCAAGCCACGCGAAGCAAAGAGCGCAAACTCTCCACCCAGGCGTCGCTACTGCTGCGCTGCAGACAGCCAATGAAATCGGCGCGGGTCGTACTACCCCGCATCCCAGTCAAGGTTTGCACGCGAGCAGACATCAGACCCCAACAGCCCTCAAGCCGCTCTTCCTCCGCCCGGGGATCCAGAAGGCCCTGCGGCACACTGGCAAGAAACTTTAGACCTGCCGACGCGTAACTTGTATCGTCCACGGTCGTTCTTCCCTGATTCCTCTGCCCAACGCCGTCGCCGTCGTTGTCGCTGTCACTGTCACTGTCACTGTCACGGCTCACGGACGACGGCCCACGAGCAGATGCCCCTTTCGGTTTGCAGCGCAGTTCCAGGAGGTGGAACACCTTCCATAGGACGATGGGAGTCGTTGCCATCACGAACCGCAGCTGATGGATGCCCTCAATTCCCTCATCATGTCCTATAAGGTGAAACTCCCGCAAAAATAACGTCAGGGCGTGCTCCAGCGCGGCGTCATCCTTCCCATCGCCCTGCGAAAAAACCAACTGCTCAACGTCATCCTCAGTAGCGCAACGTGTCGTGGACCGCGGAACAGCCGTCCCCACTGCCTTTCGATCAGCAGGCAACAGAAAAGGCAATAGCCGCCACATTCTCTTCCTTGTGCTTGTTTCCTCATGTTTGACTTTTTTAACACTTGCGGGTGCCTCTTGAAGCCCCTGCAGAACTGCCTGGACCCGTTCAGCTGCACCATTTGCCAACCGCTGCAGCATAGCTGCGTCCGTTGGCCCGCCCAAACACTGCACCGCCTCCTCTACAGCAAGGTGCTGTTCAGAAATAAGACGACGGCACACGGTGGAGACACCGCTCAATGAAGTTAACTTCTGCAACGCCTCCAGCAGCGGTTTCAGCTCGGCAATCGCTGTCTCCCGCAGTCGTCCCAAAATCAAAAACGAGGACATTCCCTCGGTTTGCGCGAGCGTCAGAGCCGCGGTGAACGCCTTCACAAGGGCTGCCGTGCGTTCGGCAGGCGTGGAGGCCCGAAGCCGACCCCCGGAGCGCAGGAATAATGCGGCATCCCCCGTGACGCCATGGTCAAGCATGAGCACATCAATACTCAAGAAGTCCAGCACAAAGCGGGAAAGCCCTGCTTCGCTCCAGTGGTGCGAGGCATTGCCGGTGGACGCATCGCCAGATGTTAGTGTGGAGATCATTTTTGACGCGGCGGACGCCATCAGCTCCTGCACGACCGACTTGGTAAAACTAAACCGCATAGCGCTCTCCAGCAGAAGCCGCACTAACCTTGGACCACAAGCCGGACTTTCAAGGGCCTCCCCCACGACAGCCCGCACCAAGGCCAGGTCCACAACCACATTGGCCAGAGCCGCGTTCTCGGCCCGCAACTCCTCCACAATGTCGTGTTCGGAGGCGTGTGGCGCCTTGTTCGCGCCCTCCTCCACCAGGCCCCGCAGTAGGCGATCGGCAAAGTGAAGTTCCAGGAGTAGTGCAGCGTCCCACACCTCCGGCTGCGTGCCAGCGGTGAGGATGGCCTGCTGCACAATGGCACGCCCGTTGTCGGTGTTACCCATCTCGATCCCTTCGTAAAGGGCGGCCTCCACCCAAAGAGAGCTGCGGGTCGGGTAGCGCACCATGAGCTCGCCGTAGAGCGCCGAAAGACTGGAGTGACGATTGTGCGCCTTTAGGAATTGAACAAACTCGTTGCGCAGCAGTTCTGACTCCTCCCTATCCTTGATGTGTTTGATGCCAATGCGGTAGATGGTCTCAATGCGCTCCAGCACGGCCCAGCGATGCCGTAGCACCAGCTTCGTTGTCCTGCAGTACTCCTGTATCCGCCTCTCCAGCCCCAGCTCATACACCACGGCATTCTGCACGTCCAACAGAAGCAGAGGTTTTGCGACAAGACGGTACTCCCAGTGTGCCCGCTGCCGCGCAACCTCCTGCGTCTCCTCGCGCGTAAGAAACCCGCTTGTGAAGTACTCCTCAAGGGAGGGAAGCAACTTCTCCAGGCGCGTATCAATCGCACGTGCACGAGCCATATTTTACGTCCTACTTGATGGGTGCGTGAAAAACAATGAAGCGTCCCTGCATGCAGATGAACGGATGTGGGAAAGAAAAAACAGACACCCATCACATGGAAACCACCCCCACTACACACAAGCACGAAAAACCGGACCAACTCACACAGCCAACGCCGACAAGGGAGGAAGACAGGTTCAAACACATACACATATTATATATACATATATACATATATAATATATGTGTGTGAAGGGGCCACAGTGGCGACACCAAAACACCATCGTCCAGCAGTTTTTCGTGTTCACAAGTAGTCGCAAAGTTTACATAAAGCACACCATTTTCATCTGTCCAGCCTCAGGGGTGTTCGCCGCTCCTGGCACCCACCCGCAACAACTCTCTTTTTATCCTCCCCCTCACACAGGAACGCAGTTTTTTGCTTTCTTTGCCTTCACCATGCCCTTCGCAGTGAACACGCGACCTCGCAATAGTCTCGCCCTGATAAAGCGAAAAAGCTGCGCAGCGAAGGCTCCACAGTGTCACGTGTTCTAGAGAACCGAAGACACCGGCATGCTGCAGGGGAGGCAAACCCCTGACGCTCCAGCCAGTCCGCGGCCAAGAAGAGCTGAGCTGGAGATGCTCTCCTCCATCACCTTGCCGTCCAGCCATCGTGTACGGAGGGCATTTTCCCCGCCTTTGGTTCCTCGTTGCTCGAGACCGGAAAATGTGCGCCGGACGCACCACGCTGTGCCTCCAACTCGACTCCTCCGCTGCCCATGCGGACGGGCGGGGCCCCACCTTTACCCGCATGCCGCCCGGGGCGCTACTCCCCCGCCAGGCACAGGCCAAAGCGCCTCCTCATTCAAAATGCGTCAAATGGCATGTTTGCAATAACAACAGCAACAAAAAAAAACGAGAATGCCTTTATTCTTCTCATCAACAGCAGTACACACACACAACAGAAACGCAAAACAAGCAGAAAAACAAAAAAGAAGAAAGAAACGGACAAATCCGTCCATGCCATGAAGCTGCCCTCCCCCCTGGCAGCAATACGCACGTCCACAGTTGATTGCACAGGCCGCCGGCGGTGATGCGGGCAAACAGAAGTATAAAAACTTAGAAACATTATGGGCGGAGACCATCCGTGAAGCTTCAACCGTTTGTTTGGTTTCTCACGTTCCTTCAAGATGTGAACAGGGAGAGGTGGGGGATTTTTCCTTGTCCCCCAGTCCGCTTGCTTTTGACACTGCATCGCGCCCCTTGCCAGTTCATATAAAAATAAACAGGTGAATAACTAAATATATGTTTTTAAGTAAAAATATGTCAATATAAATATCACATCGCCGAATATCGATGACCCCATGCGTCAATTTCGGGCGCTCCATCCCCCTCTCTCTATCCCCCCACCCCCCCTCCCCCCGCAAACTTCGCTTCACTGATGATTATTAATATTGTTCCCCTGCGCATATTTGTTTCTTCGCCTCTCACTTATCGTTTTCCCTTCCTCCACCGTTCGTCGCTGTTCCTTCTTCTTTGCTTTCAAAGTATTTGTTTTTCCTCCCCCCACCCACCCACCCACCCTTGTTTCTCCCTACTTGTTTCCCCCCCCCCCCCCACCTCCCGAAACAGTCCGCAGAATTTCGCCCCTTCGGGTAACGCAGGCTTGTTTGTAATGTTTTTATGCAGCTGTAAATGTGGCTGCATCACTAGATCGTGCTAGACCGTACTTAAGTGACCCCGTGTGTTATTCTGTATCACCTCCTGTTTTGCTTGCCTTTAGAGTAATCTTTTCTTTTTTTTTCTCGTCTTTGATTGTCTGCTTGCTGTTTTATGCTTTGTTTTTTTTTTTTTTGAGAGAGAGCTTGCCTGTTAAGTCTCCGTCTTTCTGTAAGTGTGCGTGGGTGGGTGCGTTTGGTGCCACGTGAATATTCACCGGCTTATATCGGCGCCATAGTTTAGGGGTCAGTGTCAAGGTGAAAGCACAGAAACATGAAAAAACCTTGTCCCCTCCAAATTTTCCCGCTTCCCTTTGGCCCTTTTGTTATTGTTGTTGTTTCTGCTGCTTGCTACGTAGTTTTTGATTCGCGTACGTGTTCCATGCCCCGCCTCCCACCCCCCGCTCAGGGCAGCCCGACTAGTGAAAAGGCTGCCCACTCCCCCAGCGGGGTGAGGTCGGTAATGCATTGCAGGTATGCGTCACGCACACATGCAGCGATGCTGCGCCCCTCCGCCGCGATGCCCATGGCAGCTGTTACCGCCGCCACCGCGACGCAATCGTTCCTCGGTATACGGTTGTTGACCGCCATCAGCATGCGGTGCGCCCCCGCGTACTGCAGCGCGCGGTACACGGGGATGCCAGTCTCATGAATGGACATCCCGCTGTACGTCCCAACCCCGGTGCATACGACGAGTGCGTAGGGGCGCAGGTCCCATGTGTTGGCGATTTCGCTTGACTGGCTCGCAATAACGTCACTTGAGGCACCAAAGAACATGCCGCAGTAGTCCTCCCGCACCTCTGGCATCGCCCGCAGCCTCAGCTCAAGTACGCCACCCACCGCGGCCTCTTCATGCACGGCACGGTAGAGGGCGTTGCGGACGCCTCGTACCTTTTCGCGGCGGTGCAGGCCAACAAGTAGTCGCTGCGTCGCGGCGACATCCGCATCCTCCAACGGCGCCTCCTCCTTTTCAGCTCCACCAGTGTCGCCCTGCGCATCGCCAACAACCCTTCTGGCCTCTTCGCCCTGCTGCTCGTCGCGCGCCGTGTCCGCAGTCGTCCCCCCTGTGCCGTCCCCGTCTATCACCGTGCGACGCACGCAGATGCCCGCTGCGGCTGCCTTGGCAAGATACGCGTCCAGCAACACGCTCGTGTGGGCGGCGGCGTCGATGACGGTGCATCGCCTGACCCCCTTCGCCTCCCCCAACCGCGCCATCGCCATCGCGTCGACAAAGTGCGTGCACAGCAGCGCCATGGAGCAACACGTGCTCGTGCAGAAGCGCTCTGTGAGGTATTGCCGCCCATCGTAAAAGGCGTGAAAAGGCAGACGACTGAAAACGCCGTCGCCCACAAACATCAGCCCAGAGGCGTCGCCCAGGTGTGTATCTAAGGGCGCAATAAAACTTTCATGTAAAAGTTTCAGGCAGTAAAGTGCATCAGTTTCAAGTGCCTTCACACGCTCCGCATTCGCTGGCGACTGATAAAAGTCAAACGCGACCTTTGAGTAGAGCTGCGGCCAGAGCGGGGTGTCACCGTAGAGCCGCACCCCGTCCTCCGTGTACATCGGCGCATCCAGGACCTTTGAAAGGGCAGTGGGAGTGCACATCAAAGCAATTAACTCTTCCCGCAGACGCAGAGGAAGGCCCACGCAGGTCAGGTTCCCGTCCTCGTCCAGACCGAGAACGTACGCCATGAAGTCCAACCCCTCATTCCAGGGAAGCGAGTAGCAGACGATTCGCCATCCCAGCATTGCAGGAGTCTTTAAAAGTCCTTCAACGGCACTTATGCTGACAAGTTCCGCGTCTTTTTTCTCTAATACCACTCCGGCCCGCCTTTGCTGACGCAGGAGCAAACGAGCCACATGAACCGTGTTTGGGACGTGGCACCGATCTGAGTATTGAAGGGCCGCAAATACATCGTCCTTGCGGAAGTGCACCTGCTCCAAAATACTGCAGCAACGCCACTCCACCTCACAAAGAGCCGCCTTCACTAGGTACTGTTTTTGTTCCGTCTCATCTACACGCGCGACAGTGGCTAAGGACTCCTTCAGGTGCTGTTCTGCCTTGTCCAAAATGTTTAGGCTTAACTCGGCCTCAGCTAACTCCACCAACGCCTTCGCAAGGGTTGTTAAATCTTGGCATAGTTGTGCTTGTCGTAGTGCCCGCACGCAATAATCGTACGCTTTATGCAAGTGGCCACCCAGTCGCCAGCATACCGCCGCACCTGTGAGAGACTCAATCCTCTGTCGAGGGTCTTGGGTGTTATATACAGCGAGTTCTTCCATGTAGTTTTCGGCGGCCTCATCATAGCGGCAGAGAAAGCGTTTTGTCAAGGCAATGGCGCCCGTGCAGCGCGATATCGCCTGCGTGTCTCCGTATTCCTTGGCAATCTCGAGCTCGGTCTCCTGCAACTTCAAGGCGGCTGACATGTCCCCCAACTGACATTTTAGCTGGGCATAGTTTTGCAACGGCCGCTGGTGACGGTGTCGCGGAATGAGTGGAAGCAGCGCACGTGAGGCCTCATAGGCCCGATTCGCTCGCTCTGTCTCGGCAACGGCGGAGAAGGCAATACTCTGGCAGCAGTAAATGTCGCACAGCAATTGGGGCTGTTCTGTAACCCGGGCAAGACGCTCCGCCACCTCGTACCAGGCGAGAGACTCAGGAAACAGACCGGTAATTTCGAGGGTTACGCCCATCTGCATCGCAATCCAGCCAAGTGCGGGCTTTTCATTCTTGGCAATGGCGATCGTTGCCGCGCGTGCCAAGTTGACCCGGGCATCCACGGTGTCAATGACGCGCGCAAAGGTCCTCGTTATGGCGAGACGAGAAAGCATTTCAAACAACTCAAGTTTTTCCTCCTCCGCGAGCTGAAGAGCCTTGTAACATGTATGCAGGCTCTTCTCCACGTCAACGCAGCTGTCACTCGTCTCGAGCAGAATCGCACAAACCAATGCGGGGCATTGATGGCATCCAGCCTCCGGCAACTGCCGCAGCGCACGCTGCAAGAGGAGCATCTTCACGTTTGACGTCTCGAAGACAGCCAACGAACGAAGAAACGTTCGGTAGGCATTGCTTTGCCGCGTGCTCACTGGCGAGGCGGGCAAAAGTTGCTCACTCTGCGCAATGCCCACAAGCGGAATCCCCATGACGGCAAATGGTGTGAGGGACCCTTCGACGGCGGCAGGAGGCGCACCACCATTGGCTGAGGGCACCATCACTGCTGCCGCTTCTGCTGCAGCAGCGGGTGTCACACCAATCACCAAACCCTCCAGTAATTCCTCATCGCTGCTGACACTTTTCGCACGGCGTAAATCTCGCGGACGCTTTGTCTTGGACTCAATAATCGCCTCATCTTTTCCAGAGCTTTCGTCCTCCTTTTCCCTATGCTGCAGTTGCTGCTGCTGACGTTGCTGCTTGCTCCTTCCTAGATCAGTCGGTTGCTGGCCCGGAAGTCGCACAACAGCTCCATTTTCCCGCACCCTACCGGGGAGTGCAAGTGACGCAGACTTCCTCGGCAATGTCGCCGCCGCGAAATCAGTCCCTGACTTCCCCTGCACAATCGTCCACTTATCATCCCGCCGTGTCTTTGGTTTAGGCTTCCTGGCGACCGTTACCGACCCCGACAGTGGGGAAGCTAGCGGCGGCTTTAGAATGTCCGCACGTATTCCGTTGCAAGTGACCTCATTCGAAGTGTTTTGCGTGGTGTCCTCAGTTTCATAGTACGTGTCACCGCCCTCGTTGGATGTGGCACCCATATTATTGGGGTTGTCGTTGTCATCCTCATCCGTGGTCACGGTGGTTGTGTTGGTTGTCGCTGTAGTCGTGTTCGTCGTACACGTTGTTGGTGTTGCTATTGTTGTATTTGAGTCGGTATTTATACTTCTGCGTGGGTTTGGGTTTGTCGTCGCCAACGCCGCTGGAGCATCGAGCGGAGCGGCTGTCACCCCGGCGGGAGGCTTTGCCGGGCGCAGCTTCGCAAATCGCTGCGAGCGTGGGAGGGGAATGGAGACCTTGGGGATCACCGTGCGAGAGGCCGCCCTGCAGTACGTGTCCTCCAGCGCCAAGGTGACATCCTGTGAGTCGCCCTGCGAATCCAGCGACGAGATTGTGGCTGAGCTCAGCTGCACCGCCGTCGAGCCGGCTATCCATCCACTTGAATTCCACAACGACCGCTGCCGGCTCGAATCGAAGAGCGCCGGGATGTCCTGCCCCAGAAGCATCGTGCTTCGGTACGGTCCCTTCCTCGGGGGCGCAGCGGCCACGGCGGCCATGGCGGCCACGGCGGCCACGGGAGCTGCAGGGGGCACAGCGCTACTGAGTGAGTCTATCTGAATGGTGCTGAGATCCGCGTCGCCGCAGAGTGGTGTTGGCGGCCGCTGCACTGCACTAAGTTGGTACGGATCATTCTGCCGACGTACGGGCAGCACCTGCACGCTGACCGCACCATCGCATGACGGGTACCACGGCTGAGCGCCTGGGTTCAACATCTCTACTGGTATCCCTGCAGAGTCTATTTGCCCGGCAGAGACGTGCGCCGTGCCAAACAAAAAAAAAACGCAAACAAACGGAGAGAATGAAAGGGAGCAGAGTTTGAGGGCCACAACGGGAAACGGACACACACACACACACAGAGAGAGAGAGAGAGATGGAGAAAGGAAATAAAACGAGTGAATATCTGTCAATGCAAGTTGTGTACCTGCCGTGCTGTACACAGGTCAGTGGCGGAAGCGAAAGACAACACACAGCCTCAACGGAAAAAAGTGAAAAAAAAAGGCGGTGAAGCGAGCAAGATGTATATATATCTTGAAGACAGTGCACGTCGTACGCCGTCAACGGCACCCGCCATCTCTCGGCTGCAGCGCATGGGTCCTAATGCCGCTAGTGTTGGTCCCACAGTCCACGGAGATCTTCGTCGCCGAATGGATGCGCCTTAACACCATGCCGGCGGCGAGGGGCCTCTTGGTATGCAGCCTTCTCTCGTTTTCGCTTCGCTGCCGGTGTGTTCTCTTCCGCCGCCGCAGGATCAAACGCGGCGCCGTCGTCGCCTGCCGCATAATGGCCCATGTCACCAACGTTAAGCGGATCCTCAGCGCGGCCGGAGTTATTCAGCACGGTTTCCTTCATCTTTTCCATCGCCCGCTGGGCGCGGATGTTCTCCAAGGACTTGCGCATCATGTTGAGGCTGTGGGCATCCTTCGCGTTAACGGCCGTATTAAAAAAAGAGCGCATCTCGGAGCTGACGTTGTGGTCCCACACGTCCCGCGTCTTGAAGTCTTCGTAGTCGGCACAGATGCCTGTGGGGCTGTGGTACTTCTGCTCGTCCTGCGCCGCCGTTGAGACGGCCGCAATGTCACTGGCTCGTGCGGCCGTAGACGCTGCCCGTCATGTAGTCCTCCTCCGTCACCCACTTCTCCTCCATGTGCCACATCGACACGTGGGCAGGGATGCGGCGCGCCAGCCGCAAGTGGTCCAGCTCCCAGATCTTGCAGTCCGGTGGCGCGCACCCCTCCTCGCGGCGCTGCTGCTGAAAGACTGTTTCCTCGCGGTTCAGATTTGGGGCGACCACCTTCATCTGTCGCTCCACCTCCAGCAGAAAGTCAAAGATGTCAGAGGTGTACGTACACATGGCGGTGCCGGCCAACTCCGTGCACTTGCTCTCCTCGTGCACCGTCGCTGTCAGCATGCCCACACAGCGCCTATTCCGCATCACAACGGAGCCGCAAATCCCCATGCCGATGCGGCCCTTCTCCGCCCCCTCCAGGGAGGTAGTGTCGAGGAAGAAGTGCTCCCGAGTCAGGGTGTGCACCTTGGCGCGGATGCCGGTCAGGACCATCAACGGCTCTGGTGCCTTCTCCTCATCAAAGAGTAATTCATGCGCCGTCATGCCGTAGATCCAGACATGGTCGCCCACAGCCAATGGCTCCACCAGCTCCAGACGCGGGCGTGTCACGTAACCCTCATTCTGCATCCACAGCATTTTCATATCACTACTACACTTCAAATTTTACTCTGGATGAAGCACACAGAGGTCCAACCGCGGGTTAGAATGCAAGTACACGTGCTGGTTGGAGGTGAAGTGCTTATAGACGGCATTACTCTGCAGTGAGACGAGGCGAACCTGCGTCATCGTGTCAGCTAGCGTGATGCGAGAAACGAGGCGGGTTGGTCCCTCCGTAGGATAATAGTTGGGGTAGTCCCAGGGACAGATCACGTGGGCGCACGTCAGCAGGTGGGTCCAATGCCTGCCGTACTGCGAGAAGTTCGGCCCACGTGTCTGTCCAAACCAATCACAGGGGACGCATGTCGCGTCCATCAGCCGGCGCCAGCGATCCGACTCCTTGTGGCGCCACTTGAAGCATGTCTGTACTGCCATGCACCAAGGCTAGAAGCGCACCATTGTTACAGCCTGCCATGTTGGAAAGAGGGTGAGGGAGAAGTTCCATCGAAACCGAAAAGACAACAGGAAAAGGAACGCATTCAGTGACGATGCAGATGCGGTGCATCCACGCCCATAGACACATACACACACACACACACACACACACATATCACCACTAGACCTCGTTTTTTGCTTGCGCACTTTGCTTTCATTCGTTCTTCGTTCTACTTCCTTCGCTACTTCTCAATCATGATCTTTTTTATACCTTTGTTTGTTTGTTTTTTTCTTTCCTCCCCAACCCCACTCTGCCGCCACCTCACTTTCCAGTCCCGCGACACACACAAACGCAAGTCTCCACCAGCAAAAAAACGCGCACGCATGTGTACAAACACTCAGGACTTGTACGGGCGTCCTAAAACAGTAGAAACTAAATTCGGGCTGCTTGCGCTACTCCCCACGCATCAGCACGACGGCACGAGGAAGAAGAGCCGGCACGTCGCCAACCGTTTTGTCGTCATCAAACTCCAGCGGGCGCGGCGGGTAACCAGCAATCAACCGAAACTCCCCACCTTTGTAGTCTTCCAGCGACATTGCGTAGTCGCGCAGGTGACGGAGCTTCTCGGTGCGGTAGAAGCGGCGGTGGTGCTGCGTCCCGCAAAGAGATTTAAGGCTAATAAGCGCGACGCTCGAGGGATCCGCATCGATGGGGGGCTCCTTTGGCAGCCGTGCGGATGCGGCCGCCCGCAGCGCCTCCGCCCGAGCGCGGCACTCCGCCTCCTCCTCCTGCCGCTGCCGTCTCGCTTCCTCCGCCTCGCGCTGTTGCCGCTCCGCCTCCTCCCGCTCGCGCCGCAGCCACCCCTCTCGCTCACGCTGCTTGCGCATCTGTTCTTCGTACTGCCGGATGCGCTCACGGTCCACCGCCTGCATCTCATTGGCCTGCAGCTCTTCCTCACGGCGGGCCCGCTCCTTCTCCTCCCGCTCCCGGCGCAAGTGGACCTCTTCCGCCAGCCGCCCGTCCCAGTGGTCGAAAGCCATCTGGAGGTTTTGCACTACCGCCTCGGCGGAGAGGAGGCCCTTCAGCTTCAGCACGGTGGTGCGCTTCAGCATGAGGGCCAGAAAGGGAAACGTCGTCACCTGCAGCTCCGCCTCCAGCCGGCGGCCCTCCAACTCTAGCACGGAAGCCCCAAAGAACACAAGGCGGGTTCCCACCAGCTCTCGCAGCTTCGGACTCGACATCACGCTCGTCAGAAACGCGGGGGTGTCCTCGTGCGTCGGGGAGTGGACGTAGACAAGGAGGTACAACCCTCGGCGCTGCGCCTCACGCCGCGCTGTATCCAACGACTCGTGAACGATCGGGAGCTCCACGCCGTACTCGCAGAACACATCGCTCACAAAAGTTAACACTGGCATGCGACCAAACTCCTGGGAAAAAGCGGTAAGAAGAGACGACAAAAAAAAAAAAAAGGAACGCTCACGCGCAGAGAGGCTGTGCAGCACATCATTGCAAATATTCTCCTCATGCTCTCACGCTCATCCTCGCCCGCCAAAGGAGGAAGGCGTTAACAAAGTCATCCCCGCCGCAGCAAAGCAACGGACATAAGGCGATTACAAGTTTGTCTTACCGCCAGGCCGTAGGGCGCCGGTGTCGACGCCGCCTAAGATCTGCTGCGCAATGGCATCCGGTGGGGTGTCGATCACCGGCCCGTACGCGTCTAGCTTCATCTGCGACTTTTTGTCCTCGATGTGGATGTCGTCCCGCTGCGCCTCCTCTTTCATGGCACGGAGGTACATGTGGTAGTCGAAGAGGTGGGGCCGCTTGTTAAACACCTCCACCCAGGTCTCGTAGAGGGAGGGCAGCGTGTAGTACTTGAGGAGCATCTGGGTGATGAAGATGCAGTCCTGGCGTACAAATATTTTGTCCTTGATCTCGCACCGCACCAACACAATACGCTTTGTGCGAGACAACTCTGTAAAGAACTGAATGGTCATGTCAATCTGCGCGTGGTCCTGCTTCTGCTGCCACTCACCCAGCGGAGCGACGCCGATAAGGTCATTATCCCAGTTTGTCACGACGTTAAAGAGCCCTTTCGTGCGGAACACGGGAATCACAAAGTAGGAGCACTTCTGCAGGCGGGGGCGCAAAGCAGCGTAGGCGTCGGCCGAAATCACCCGGCCCCAGTACTGCACGAACTGCTTGTGGTGTTCGTTCCAGAGCGTCGCCACCTGCGGCGTCGGGGTCGCCTCGAGAAGGCCCAGCTTGCAGATCTCGTCCAACGCCTTTCGCCCAGGCAGCTTGTAGAAGCCGCGCAGGCCGCAACTCTTGCGCAGCATCTCCCCCGCTGAATACCTCCACTGCAATGGCAGCGGAGACGATAATTATGGCACATGAGAGAAGAAAAGGGAGGAAAGCGAAGGCAAAGCGTTGGGCGCACCCCACCACACACACGCACACACAACGCATTGCGCGAGCAACGAAGCAATAGAGCAAATATGTTAATAAAAAGAGGGGGTGAATATATTAACAGTCAGTGCATCTAGACGTAATATATATGTGTATATGTATTCTAAGTGCAAGAAGGCACCACGGCATCTCAGTGTGTCGCTCTATGTCAATGTGCTGCTTCTTTCTGATTCTTCTCGTTCTTTGTTTGGTCCGTTTTCCTCACACCTCTCCCTCTGTTGCTGCTTTGTGTGTTTGCTTGTTCTCTTGTTTTTTTTGGTTTTTCCTTCACTTGCCACCACCACCACCCCATCCAGCTTCTATCGAAACACGGCACGCCGCGGCACGTGTACCGGCGACTCGCGTTGGTGCATGCGACTGCTGGCGGTGGGGGTGCGGTAGAGCCGTTCACAGCTGTTGCGCGAACTGCACTGCGATCCGAAGGCACTGCTGCAGCGGCTGCTACCCCCGTCCCCCCACAGCCGCTTCTTCGTCAGCGTCGCCCCGCCCCCGCGGGCGTGGCTCAGCGAGCGGAGACGCAACTCAGTCGCGGATCGCCCCCCCTGCCGGCCGCCAGTGCGCCCACGTGGAGCGGGCGAGTCGCCCAGCCGACGCGAAGACGATCGCCGCGGCACCGGCGAGGGCGTGTCAAACCGGGAGCGCCGCTTCACCTTCTCACCGCAGACCAGCGCCCTTTGTTTCAGCCGGGCGAAGGCCGCGTGCGCCTCATCCCGCTCCGCCTCTGCCTGGCGAAGCCGCGCTCGAAGGCCTGACAGCTTCTTCTTGAGCCGCTCCAACTCACAGGCCCCATCCACGCGCTGCTGAAAGTCCTCACAGAGCCGCTGCATCTCCAGCATCTTCTCTCTGCTCAGCCTTGCCAACGCCTCATTCTCGCGTCTAAGCTTCTCGTTCTCCGTCTGCAGCCTCGCGAGTTGGGCCTTGTTGGCATCATCTGCCTCAGCCCTTGTTTTTGCTCCGTTGTGCCGCAACGCGGCGCATTGCGGCTGCTGCCGAGGATCGGCGGAGACTACCGAAGACAAACGCCGCGAGTCCGCAGCCGCATTCCCCTCCGCGGTGGCCATCTGCAGGAGCGGCACGGGGAATACGGCGCGTGTGAAGTCCACGTCATAGTCCAGGGTGAAAAATCGCTGCATGCGCGAGGTGTCGGAGAGTTGACTCGTGTCGCTGTCGTCGATGAGGGAGTCAGAGGCCACGCAGCCGCGTTGCGCCACCTCCGCCGTAATCCGGCTTTTCATCTCCTCGCATGTTTCAACAAAAAACTTCACGCTTGGGGAGCGTCCGATGAGGGCGTTGTACGTCATGTCCGCAAAGCCGGCAAACTCCTTCCGCACCCCGGCTGCTGTGGTGATCTCCAGCACATGACTCTCACGCAACACCGCAACGTAGTGTACCTCTGGCGACGGCTCGAAGGTGGACGCCTTCGGCACCACGTCTATGCGCATCGACTCCGTATCGGTCTTGTACCGCACAAGGTAGCGGCCGCACGGGGAGTGGACGCAGCACTCCATCCGCTCACCGTCCCAAGAAGCAATGATCTATACACGCAACTACGTATGCACGCCCTGCTCAGACAAAACGCAGAAGAAACCATATACACCGCGCAATCACACACAATCACTGTGCAAGGAAGAAGGGGGAGGGCGCACGCGCAATCCACGGGAGCAGTGAGAGAGACTGAAACGTCTCGCTCCCCCCTCCCCATCATAAGCATCACCGATGTCGACACTCCTCTTGGCATCATTACTGGGCTCATTGCAGCCCTCTGCATGCCCGCAAGAAAGCCAAAACAAAACAAAAAAGCAAACAAAAACTGGTCGTTGACTACCCATCTAACTTGCTCCTCTCCTACTCCCTGTGCACGACACGTCGGTGTCTCGGCGTGGCGTCGTCGATCCTCGCCGGGTTGTGCAGAGCACCTCTGCAGCCTCCGCCACGTAGTCGCTGTTGCTGCCAGGCTGCACACGCTGCACACGCCAGACCCGCCGCGCCGGCATCGCAACGGCTGAGCCGAGCGGATGGTCGAGCGGGTGCAGCGTGCACAGCAGCCCAGCCTGTCCCTCCGGCGAGAGAAGTTCCAAAAGGGGCAGCCGCACATCGTCCGCCACATCGCGGCAACGCGGGAACATTGGGAGCTGCTGCTTCTCTCGTTCGAAATACTCCGCCCACATCCGGTGGCGCAGGTGGTAGTAGGCGACTACGTCTGTCGCCGCCATCGCCTGCCACAGGCGATCACACTTCAGCTCCAGACGAGCACTGAGGACTGCGTTAAACGCCGGATTGCGGTTAACCGTCACGCCAAGGCGACACGGCATGGAACAGTAAAATGTTTGCGACACCGGCACGTCCTCCGACGGGGCACACGTCGCGTGCATCAAGGAACGGCACGTGGCACACTGCAACACCCTCGCGCTGCCTGGCGCAACGCCCACGCCGCACACCGTGCAGAGGCAGCAGACGCAATGGTCCTCGTTGCACCATTCGCACCTCATCTACGCACGCAAAGCTGGGACAAAAGGAGGGCAGAGGATGAGGAGAAAGCACTGGCATCTGCACAGAGGAGGAGCCAAGTGTGCGCGTCATGCGGATGGCAAACCACCGCCCGTCCGCCTCCCCGTCGTTGCAAGCGTCTTTTGGAATTCACGCCTGCGCATGCGCAAAAACTGCGCTGCTGCTGAAGTCAACACCAAACAAACAGCGCTGGACGGCCGCTCCCTCTGCGCCAGGAGAAAACGCCCCCACGCAAAAACCAGCAAACGCCACGCCCGGCGCGACTCCATGAGCAGCTGACGGGTTTGCCGCATCCCGGATGTGGTCGCTGGGCACACGTTCTCTGCGAGCGCCGCCGCCGCCGCCGCCTCGTCCCGGCGCTCCGCCCCCTCCGTGTCCCTTTTCATCACGGCCCGAAACAACCCCGCGCAGGGCCCCAGAGGGGAGAAGAGCCAACTGCACTCGTCCAGCATGGCGAAGGGACCCGACACCAAGTCTGACAGCGTGATGTGACTGGCCACCGCCCAACACTCCTCCTCCACCTCGCGAAGAGCCGCACCGCTGCGCCTCCACGCCGCGGTGCGCTCCTCCCAGCCGCCAACAAACTTTGCCTGCCACGCGCCAAGCTGCCCGAGCAGCTCCGCTTCCCGCCGCTCCCGCCACGCCTCGCGACGACGGCACGCCTGACGCTCCTCAGACGTCCAGCTAGCACTGCGGAGGACAAGAGCATCGACGTCCCGCATGACGCATACACGGGAAAGTGCCGCTGTGACTTCCTCCACCTCCTCCTCCAGCATTTTTCCCCCAGCGTTGTCCTACACAGCGTGTACTACCACTCCACATGCAAACAGGGAGAAGAGGGTAGAAAAAAAAAAAAAAGGGGGGGGGGAAAAACAGATACAAATGCACCTGCAGCAGTACCCCGCGAATAAGCCCTTGTGGGCCTTCCATCTGCCGTGCAACACGGGAAGTGAAAAAAGAAAGAGAGAGCAAAACGAAACAAATTGTCATTTTTCAAAATAAATCAAATAAAATGAGAAAGCAAGTGTACGCAAGAGCGGCGGGGACCTCACTTCTTCTTCGTCTGATGGCGGAGGGCCTCCTCCATCTTGGCACGCCGCTTCTTGGCGGCCTTGAAGTTGCCAAGGCGCTTCTTGCAAAACTTGAGGGCACGCTTGTCCTTGCCAACGCGCAGCAGCTCTTGCACGCGTTTCTCCATGGGCGAGAGGCCAACGAGGTCCGTGATGATCGCCTTCACAGCGCGCAGCTTCTTGTGCGGAAGAGCGTAGCGGTCGTTGGAGGACGGGGCGCGGGCGCGGCGGGTGGTCTTGTGGCCCTTGTTAAAGCCGGCGATGATGCCCGTCCGCGGCGCGGGGGCCTCTGCCTTTGGAGCCTCTTTCTTCACGGCGGGCATGCTCTTCTCTTTCTGGTGCAACAGAAACAAACGAAGGAGAAAATGTAGGGACTGGGGCCCCGAAGGCACACGGACAAACACACACAGACACCTGGCGAAAGGTGTGTACGAGGCAAAGCACGACAAGCGGAAGCGCAGTTGTGTTGAAAACAATAAAAACAAAAACAATAGGAAAGGCCAACACGAAAAATGTGTCAGAGTGACACTAACGCTTGCGCAGGAACACCATGCGGTTGTTGCGGCGCCATGCAGCACGGACAGACGGGCGCAACTTCGAGGCCTTGTGACCCTTGTGGCGCAGGCCGCGGTGCTTGCGACCGGCCGACGTGAGGCCGCGCTGCTCACGGTGCTTGTGCACCGCGTTCACGATCCAGTTGATGCGTGGGTCGCGACGAATCGTGCGGTGCATCGGGTCCACCGCGACCACCTCGTACCAGAGGAAGGTGGAGTCGGCATTCACCCAGTACGAGTTCAGCACACGAAGGTTGCCGTACTTCTTGCCAAGCCGCTGCTCCGCAATGACGCGGTTGTTCTTGTTGAGCTTGACCCCCAACACACCGCTCGTCTTGGGCTTGCCGTACGTAATGCCCTTGTGCACCGGGCGCTTGCGCCCACCGCGGCGAACACGCACACGAAACACGGAGTACCCCTGCTTCGTCTTGTATCCCAGCATGCGGGCCTTTTCGGGGCGCGTCGGCCGGCGCAAGCGAACAATGGTGTGTTGATGACGGAATTCCCACGCCCGGACGCGCTGGATGAAGCGCATCACATCGGAAGACTTCTTCTTCCACAACTCGTTCAGGTACATAAACGCCCCCATTTCGCTGACCTTTCTACGCCGCCCACACAAGCCAGCACCATCAGAGAAGTAGAATAAAATAATAATAATAATAAAACAATCCGCGCCAAATGCACCAAACACCGGCAGCGGCAAAAAGCACACAGACGAAGCAAAACTCAAACAATACAAACTAAAAATAAAATTAAAAACAGTGCATTTGCTCCTTCAATTATTTCGCAAAAACATGGTCTACCTCGACGCGCGGTCGCGGATCCTCGCAATCACCGATGCAATCTTCACCTTGGCGGCGGCCTTCTTCTCGGCGCCAGTCAGCTTCTTGGTGTTGTACTTCTTCACCGCCGCGGCCTCCTTGCGCTCCTTCTTCGCGCGGCGCTTCATCGGGTCCGCGCGGATGGCAGCGTGCGCCTTCTTATAGACGCCTTCCAGCTCGCTGGGGGCAACCTTGGCTTTGATGTACTTGGAGAACTGGCACGTGCTCTCCTCCGGGTTCGAGCTCGCCTCCTCCTGCACCTGCTTCAGGTACTCCGCAACGTGGTGACCAAAGATGCGGTCGCGGTGGGCCTTGGCGTTCAGGGAGTCCTTCTCCTTGTTGTAGCCGGGGAAGCGGTTGGGGCGGTGCGGCACGGCCAGGCCGCCGTCCACGGCACCCTTCAGCACACCAAACACACGGGCACCGGTCGTCGTGCGGGCAA